TTGCCAGCTTTACAGCAGATGGTGAAAGTGATCAGTTCACGATCACTGTCACCCGGCTTCCCTTCTATTGTTAGGCTGCTGATTAGGTCATCTCCGATTGCCAGTACGAGGTCGAGCAGCGCTTTACCTCTTGTCGGCCTGTAGACTTCCTGCATCAGATAGAGGTCATCCACACATGAGAGAGAGCTTTGCGACCGCTCGGATTTGGCCGAGCGCTCCTCCCACGAGATGTCTGGGTAGTTAAAGTCTCCCATGACAACCATACGCTGGGACTGTGTGGCCTCAGCCAGTTCACTGTTGAACTCTTGTCAAGGTCTTGACTCTGGGTAGGGGGTCTGTAGTAGACCCCCACCATAGTATCCCCTGTGCTGTGTTTCCCACGGATTTTAACCCAGAGGGTCTCAAGTCATCCACTGTGGGTGCCAATGTTGGCTTACAGGGATGCGTAGCTTTCCTTGACGTAGACAGCTATGCCCCCCTCCCCTTTTATCTACTCGATCCCTCCTGTACAGGGTATAGCCAGCTGTCTATACCCCTGGTCCAGTCACGGGTGGAGTCCCACTAGGTTTTTGTTATCCCAGTGACATTGTAGTTATTTGCATTTAGCAGAACAAGTTCCTCCTGTTTATTCCCCAGGCTGCCGGCATTTGTGTATAGACATGCAAGTGTCCCCTTAGGGGCTCTTGCCTTGCCTACATTTTGTTCCAGGGCTGGGGCTCGGGTGGGGTCCCTTATGTGCCTTGGCCTGCTGGCTTTGCAGGGGCCACTCAGTGCGCCAGCAGTGGCAGAAGTCCCCCCCCATCCCGCAGCAGGCTTAGTTTTAAAGCCCGGTGGAGCAGGTCAGCCAGTCTAGCTGAGAAGAGCCTCCTCCCCAACGGAGAGAGGTGGTGGCCATCCCTTCCCAACAGCTCACTGCCTCTCTCTCCAAAGAGTGGGCTGTGGTCATGGAAGCCAAAGCCTTCCCGATGACACCAGCGCTGTCGTCTTTGGTTGACTACCTGGATCCTTCTCTCCCTCCTCAGCCCGTAGCCCGAGACTGGGAGGATTGAAGAAAACACCACCTGTGCCCCCACACCCTTTAACCCCGCACCCAAAGCCCTGTAGCGCCTCGTGACCCAGCTAGGAGAGTTTGGAGCCGTGTCATTGGTGCCTACATAGATGAGGAGCATGGGATAGTGGGCTGTGGGCTGGAGGAGCTCAGGGATCTTCTCCGCAATGTCTCACATGCGGGCCCCTGGGAAGCAGCAGACCTCCTGGACTAAGGGGTTGGGGCAGCAGATTTACCCCCTCAGTCCCCCTTAGGATGGAGTTTTCCATGACAAACACTTTACGTTTGGTCTTGGGGAGAGTGGGGATGGTAGCTACAGTGTCCTCTGTGTTTCCTGCAGGAGCTGGCAACTCAGCAGGCTCTGTTGCAAAGCTTCAGCGGGGCAGGGGCCTTGGTGCAGTGAGCCCTGGGGCCTTTGACCACCTTGGTCCAACCCCATGGCTGGACAGAAGGGGAGGACCCTGGGTCCTTCCTTGTCCTGTAGGGAGACCGTGGTCTACCCTCTGCCTCCTGGGGGAGAAGGATCTGGCAGTAGGAGTCAATCTCCGGCTCACAGTCCCTGATGGCATGCAGTCTCTGGACTGTGGCCTGGAGCTCCTCCAGCTGTTGCACCAGAGACCCCAGTAGGGAGCAGACCCCACAAGGGGAGGTGGCCATGCTTCCAGGCCCCAGAGCCTGAAAAAGGGACAGGCAGCCCCTGCAGCCGAAAGCCAAAGACTCTGTCTGTGTGAAGCCCGGAACCATGGGCTCTGTCTGGGTGGCTGTCTCAGAGGTGCCGGTGGGGGGCTGCAGAGCCCGAGGGGACCTGAGGGGTGCGGCGTGTGCCCATCTGTCATGCCGCTGGTAGGCTGGCTACAGCTGGGACTGTCTACTCTGGGGGACTCACAGGCAGGGCCTTGGGCCCTCCTGCTCGCCCTCCTGTGCAAACTGGCGCTAACTTGTGCGCCGGGCCCAGGAGTGCACCTGTTTGTGCAGCCTGTTTGCGAGGCTCCAGTCACGTGGCTCCCTGCCGGGCTGGATGAAGTAGGAGCTAGGGGGGCGTGACCCTCCTTGGCCAACTTAGCCCGCTCCCAGCTGAGTAGATCCCTCCCTCCATGGGCTCCTGCTTACCTGCTGGCAGGCCAGGGCTCATCAGGGGTCCTGTGGTCTTTGTTGTTGTTGGGGTCCCTGGGCTCACGGGGGCGCAGAAGGCTTACACTCGTGCATCTTGCTCTACATCCCAGTGTGATTTGCTCCTTTCTTCCATGGGTCCAGGGAGCCAATCAGGGATACTCTTTGCATTACTGTCAACTGTCACTAGTCAGACTGGGAACCTGCAGAGCAAGCTGAAATGCACAGGGGTTGCTTGGCTGTGCAGCAAATTGGCATTCAGACATAGAATCATAGAATCAATGAGTCGGAAGGGACCTAGACAGATCGTTTAGTTCGACCCCCTGCCATGGGGGGGTCAGACTAGACCCTGAACACCTGTTCAGGATCTCTGGGTCAGTTTTTCTCTACTAGAAAAACAAACCTAAGAGAATTTTCCTAGATCACTTGAACATGTGTACGCAGTCACAATTTGAAATAACTTCTTGTAAAGCATTGTTTATTTCTATCTGTCATCAGGTGGAAACAGGAAAAACTGATGGTCTAGATTTTGGTGACTTGACCTGTGGCAGTTGGAAGTCTCTTCCACTAAAACTGATCAACAAGACCCAGGCTTCTGTGCCAATCAGACTTATTATCAATGCAGTAAGTGTCAGTTTATATATAGTAACAGTGACCTTTCTGTAACAGTAAATCTGTTGGTAAGAATGAAGTTTTGATGAAGACATATTTAAATTCTTATGGGTGCTCAGATATTTAGGAATATTCTTCAATACATAAAAATCTTCAACTAGTAATTTTAACTTGACTTTGACTATATAGTATTAGTAGAACTTTACTTACATTTCTAGATGTCTCTTATCAGCCTTGCTGGTAAGAAAAATATGGTGTTTATAGTTTGTTTTTTTTAAAGTACATTTTATTGACAGAATGCAGTAGCCTGGCGTTGCTTCACATTTTCCAAGGAGCCTGTTAATGGATGTTCATTCCAAACTGGTGCATTCTTTCCAATTGCAGCACCATCAGTTGTAAACCATGTGATGCACGCGAACTGCAATGGTCAAGTAAGTAGTCTACATGTTGTAAAACTTAGTTCTTCCAGTATTGTCCTAAAAAAAATTCTGTTTTCCAATAACTGAATTCACAGTACTTATTTATAGAAAATTATAAGGAAACTGTACTGTTTGCAAAAACAAAATAAAAAAACCCACTCAATCCCATTCTTCCTTCTTCCTGCACCCCAGATTAGCTGAGTGATTAGCTAGTAATTCAGCTGTCAGTATGTTATAAGTAGATGAAGAGGATAGGCAGCTCTTTTAGCTGTTGTTTTGTTTTAAATATCAGAAAATTCCAACAGCTTATGGAATTTTTTAGTTAAAATTGGGTACAAGATTATTTTGAATTTTGACTTCATTATTCCATTTCCTCTTATGCTTAATAGTATGATCAAGGAAATCCGGATGGTTCCTAAAAATATTGGCTCACCTGTATCTAAGGAAGAATATTTGTAGCTGTAGTGTTTAGAATAAAATACGTTTTGCCTATTATCATGGAAGTGCATTTTCAAAATGATCTAAAGAAACTTGTAGTTGAAGAGTGTTGTTATAGCCATGATGGTCCAGCAATTATGTGAAAGACAAGGATTTCTTAGGGTGGTTATTGGATCAACTACGTAGCTGGGAAAAAGCTAGAAAAGCTTTCAAATGGAAGATGTTCTTCATCAGGTCTCTCATCTCAGGAAGATCCTGTGCCTAGCTTTCTGTGATTAGAGACCTGGCAAAAAATGTCTTTCATTCAAAGGCTTGTCTAACTTTATCCCAACAACGTAGTTGGTCCAATAAAATATATCACCCTAAGAAATCCTTGCCTTAAGAAACTTGTAATGCTCTATGTTCAGTACTTGCTACAAGATTGCATTCCAATAAAGTTAATTTTCTTTGTGTCCATTAAAAATATGATTTTTTTTTTTTTTTTTTTTCAGGATCCTGAAACTTTAATAGTCTGGGTTCTGTTTCATGCACCAAAGAAACACATCTCTTGTTTAGGTATAACAGCTTGACTCTTTTTTTGTATAGAAAATTTGGTGTTTAAAGTTTGCTTTAAGACTCAAGGGAAAAGTTATGAATGAAATGAAACATTTTAATTATGGCTTCTATTATGTCTTAGTTTATGAATGATCTATTTTGGTGTTTTATAGATCAGTCTATTCCCTGACTGTTGGGGAAAATATAAAAATATTTCCATTCTCTCTGATATCTTAGTGTGAATGCTTCACAATCTAAATGTGGTGACAACTATGTTTTTCTTATGTACAAGGTTTCAGAATGTGGCTGTTCATTACAGGACATGCAAATTTTTCCTCAGCTTTTATTATGATAGTTGAACAGCTGCTGCCAAAATAAAATACTGAATGTCATAAACCCCACAAAATATGGAGGCGTTCATAAGATGGTCATACGTGTGTTCTTGAGCCTTACTGAGCATGTGTTATCTCTACAGATAGGTGGTGTTAAGCTGTATTTAGCTATATATTCTTGTACAAATATCCCAGTGCATAGAAACAATTGTAATTTTGATGCAGTTTTTATGCTTTAGCCAATACTGGTTACTAGAGCAGTGATTAACTTAAGCATTCCTCACCTATTCACTCTTGAAAGAAGTAATCACTGAGGCCCTCTCTACACATTGCATGTATTGTGCAGTTAGCTGGTTAATTGCACAGTTAACTGGAAACAGCTATGCATGCAATGTACCTGTTCCGTCATAAAAAGATCCAGACAGCTATAAAGTTAGACTTAGAAAATGTGTATACCATAGCTGGTTGCTATTCAGCTTTAATTTGCACATGTAGCGGGGTCTCCCCTTTCAGCTGATGGAGCTCCCAGCCACAGGGGTGCACCATGCCACAACTAAGGGGACTCTCAGCCTCAACAGCTGCTGACTTTGGATCTCAGCAATGTACCTCACCAGTACCAGGACTCAGCTAGGTCCCAGCAGCCATCAGGCATGGCTGTGATCTCCCAGCTGCAGGGGTAAGTGGGCACCCACACAGCTGGGAGCCCCTCAGCTGAGGGGGCTCCTAGCTGTGGGAGCTTGCTTGTTGCTGCTTGCTGCTGCTCAGGATTGGGCTCCCCATGCACTAGCAGTAAGGTGCAGTAGGATCTAATCCATGATCCCACAATCATGTCTTTTACCATGTACACGTGGCATGGCAGGAGGCAAGTTTGTGTGGATCACGTATTCGATCCCATTGCACCTTTACCTGCAGGTATAGAGGGGCCCTGAGAATTAGTGTCCGAGTGTTACTCATCGAATAGGGTTGTTGGTTGCAGACCATTATGAGGCTTGAGGCATGAGACAGACCCTTCCAGACAAAAAATAATTTACATTTTAAAAGAAATCTAAGAATAACATCTGGCTAGGCAGGCTATTAAAGGATGAACATTTCTCTCAGTGGAGAAAATTAAGTGAGAAACAGTATTTTGGGATACATCTGAAAGAATGCAGATATTCTCCTAGTGGTAATTAAATCAGAAAAGAATTCTAGGCTGATAAATATGCACCTTTTTTGGTGGAGCAGGGAATGAGGGGAGGGCAAGAAGCTATATGCATAGCATCGGCTCCTCAAGAATCCAGTGAATAATACGTGGAAATGACCAGATAAGTAACTATACTTAAGCCTTGACAGGAGAGCAAGTCTTCCTCTTTTCTTTTTCTGGGCGTAGGAAAGCTGGAGTCCCTTGGCCAGTGGGCTGTGTGTTCTGGCTGATAAGAAATGTAGGAGCTGCTTTCTAACCTGTTGAGCTGGGTAAAACTGCAGTCGTGGGTTTAAGATGTAGAATAAGATCAGATTATTGTTCTGATATTTTCTTTTGTGTGTTCATTCTTATATCTCTGCCTGTATCTTGGCATATAGTTACTGTTTGTTTGGGTTCTTAAGTTTGCTCGTTTTTGTAAAAAGTCTTTTGTTGTCTTTTATAACACTTATTGTTAGTGTTGGCTGTGATCTCAGAGTATTTGACCATACTAGCAGGCCCCTTTCAAGGGTGGGTAGATGTATCTTTTCTGAGCAGGTTACTAGACAAGACTGATTCTTTTAGCTGGCAAAATTTCTGTTATGACCTAGCAATACCTAGCTGAGACTAGTAAAGCTGAGGGAAGTGACCTTTGGAGCATCTCAGTCTGTCTTCAGTGGTGAAGTTTCAGATGGCAATTAGGGGCTTACAGCTGAAGGGTACCCTTAAAGGTGCAAGAGCACCCTGCAAATGTGTCTCAGAGGTATACCATGCCTCATCTGGAGTCAGGATGTATCACAGTGAACAACAAGCACAGATGTCATACTCAAATGATTTTGAATCGTGGTTGGATTTTTTGTTCTCTTTGCCTTTAGATTATTTGGGTCCAGCAGATGAATTCGTAGCAAGAGTTGATGTGGAGGTTGATAGTCTGGGGCCTACTAATGTGATAAACAGCATTCCCCTCCGAGCAAGAGCTGGAACAGCCAGGATACATGCACCACAAGACTTGCAGGTATTCTTCTACAAAAAAGTAAGCTTTTAGTGTACTGCATCTTCTCACAATCCATGCATGTCCAAGAAAGATGTGTACCTTGTCTTTGGAAAGCAGTGTAGGAGAATATTATTTTCACAGTCATGGCTGATTGTGTGACCAAGTAAGTCCTCCAAGAAACAGTGTCCAGGGAGTGTGACATCTCATGAGAGAGTCTGAGTGAGGTAGCAGGAACTTCCTGGTGTCAGGACAGCAACAAGGTTAGCCCCCAGATGCTTGCAAGGAAAGTAGCAAGACATGTTAATTCTTTACTATAAATAGTTAGTTATTTATGCAAGTTCCTGTAAATAAGTGTTTCCACACCACAAACCTCATCAAGATACTGCATGTGGTATGGCAGGAGACTGAATGAAGCAGCTTGTTTGCCCTGAGCCAGCTCAGTTGCTGTTTCAGGCACGAGCTACAGTGTTCAACAAATAGCTACTAGAAGTTCCATGGTGTTTGTAAGAGGGCTTAACCTTCTGCTAGCTGGGCCAGAGAAGGAGTTGGCGTTTTGGCAGCCATTGGAACATAGTGTTTCTATGCTTTGATTCCAGTGAAGAAAAGCCAGCTTCCGTGGTTAAATTGCATATCCCAGTTTCAAAGGCTTGATGGGGAATGGGAGGATGTGTATGTGGAATGTGAATAAATACAGTGGATTTCTCTTCAGTCTTTGTGTTCACTGTATTTGCTTTGCTGTAAAGTGGAACTACATTTTTTTTCAGACTATATGTTTGTCAGCTAGTGTGGGTTCCTCAGCTAAACAACAACTGCCTTTAAAGAATGCTGGAAATATTGAAGTCTGTTTAAAAATTAAGGTAAGATAGCTTCTTACTAGTTTAGTAATCTTGGAAACATTGCTTCTGTGCTGCAAATACTGTGTCAAAACTGGAGGTGGCCTTAAGGATCCCATTTAACCTTCCAGTCTAGTTCTCCTTTGGGACCATAGTGCTCAGAAAAAGCAACCTGGCTGTTTTGAGGGAAGTAATCTTGAAAACTATGATTACAAGAGAAAGATTACAGCACTCTCTCTCTCCTCCTTTCACTACCCAAAAACATTTCCAGAGGTTTTATGCAAGGTAATTATAGCTATATCAGTAGTGCTCAATCTTTTGGCCTCATGGGCCAGATGAGTAGTGTGGGCCCAGATTAGGCCCCATGCTGCCTGCATCCCCCACCTAAAAAACTGCAAGCAGAGGAACAGCAAATGCTGCTGCTGTCACTTCCCTGTCATCAAATTTACAGACCCTTGGGAGCCCTGTGGGTTAGATTATACGGCCTGTGGGCTGGGGGTTGATCACCCTGAACTATACTTTGACTTAATTTTGTGAGGCAGGATTGAATAGCTACTTCTTTACTCCTAGTTGAAACACCCACTATAAAACTTTTTTAACATTTGTAGTTTAATTTTCTGTAACTTTCCTGCAGTCCCTGTATAGACTATAGCAGTCTGGATGCTTCCAGGGCTGCCGTGTAGCTGTAGGCAGTATGCAAGTAATTGCAAGCCTGCTACAGTGGACTGGGCCAACTGAGAAACATAATTGGTTGGTTCCATGGGAGTTAAAAGCTCCCAGGGTTCAGAGAGAGGGGAGCTAAGAGGCGCGGAGGGCAAGCAGGTCAGCTTTTGGATGAGCTCCGAGCACCATGCCAGGATTGTCTCTCCCAGGGCTTTGCAAAAGACTGAAAGGCAAGCTGGAAACTGAGAGACTGAGTTGCTGGAGAAACGAGAGAGAAGGAAGAGGGCAGGCTAGCAGTGGCAAAGCCCAGCCTGAGCACTTTTTGGGGGTTTGGGAAAAGACCCCATTTTGTTTGTTTGTTTTGTTGGGGGTTGCCCCAGGGAAGCAGAGACAACAAACAAAAATTGCGAGCAAAGACTTCTTGAGCCAGGCAATTCCCTACCACCTGACACTGCCTTGGATATGAAGATAATAACTCTGTTGAGTATCACATCTGCTAGTGTCAATAGAAAGTCTGTGAGGCTACCATGTGACAGACTAGAGCTAAGCCATAAGGACTGTGTGGTTGCCCATACTGTAAACATGGGCTGAGGAGAATGAGTTGTGCAGTGCGGGAGTTAGCCTGAATCTGAGAGGCAGTAGAGACTGCAGGTTTTCAGCTAGTTGCTGAAGTGGTAGACTTTAGTTGTGTTGAGTAAGGAAATAATTTGCTGGGTTCTTTTCTCCTTAATTCATATACATATTTTGTAATTAAGCAAGATATTATGCCAAGTATAAAACAGCATCAAAGCTTAGATATCAGTGATAGCAAGGGCAAGCCTAGCAAGGCCCTGAATAGTGGCTAACCATGTATTACAAAAGGATAATCCTATAAATCAGCTGTTATGTTTATTAAATTAAAGCTGGTAACTATTTTGGTTCATAGCTGAAGTTACAGAAAGGCATGATAAAAATACTATTAAGCTTAACTCTTCCTAAAGTCCCAAGATAAGCATCCCAATTCTGAACCTGGCAACATGACTCAGCAACAAGTATTAAATAATATGGAATATTGCTTTCTAAAATATGTTTCTAGTATTACATTATCTTTTTCAGTTTATACAGGAGTTTTGATAATTGCTGTATTTCTGTGAGAGCTTGATCTTTGAAAATCAAGCATCCCAACTTTTCTATAATAACAGTATATCTTAATCTTGACCTTTTAAATCTTCTCATTTCACTTCGTATCACACTGCTATTGGGTAATGTAGGAGCTTGAGTGAGTTTATTTCCATCACCCCTTGTTTTTGAGGGTTTTTTTTAAGAACAATCTCTGTGTCTCTAGTCTAGTGGCTAAACACTTTTCCTACTTGAGAGCTGTCGTTATTCTTAAGCTTGCTACCCATCCATTAAAAACCAGTTAGATGATTTCTGCTCTTCCTTTCTTTTGAAATGTGTTACTTTTTAGTAATAGTCATGTTGGTTTGTATTTATCCCGAAAAGGTTGAATTCTTGTTTTCTCTTCTAGGAGAAAAAATTTTGGTACTTCAAAATAGATGTTTACAAAAATATATTTTGTTCTAAACAATAGATACTCTTCCTTCAGAACAGTATGTGCTCAATGAATAGTCATGGATACTTGCATTAAACTTAGCAGTTCAGCAAGAGATAACATTGACTTGATTTCATCCCAAATGCCTGCATCCAAAAACTTACATGACACTTTTTTTTCTGGAGTGCTGTCTGACCTGCTTCATTCTGTCATTGTCCTTCGGGCATATGTATTGGCTGCTTTAGTTTTGTGTTCATAGCATAGTTAATTTTTAAGATGCAACCATTTCAGAAGCTTAAATTTTTAATCTGAAAACAAAAGGCTTCTGTTTGAACTATTCATCTGGTACAGAATTCTGAGGAAGTGTAGGGACCCTCGTGTGAGCTGCCTCGATTGTAGATCCTAAAAGAGAAACCCAACCAGTTGGTAACAAGCTAAGAGTCTTTGCTTACTCCTACAAAATGCATATAAAACAAATTTTCCATTTTTCAGACTTCAAATCAAGATAACTGCTTTTGTGTCCAACCTGAGGATCTGTTCCTTAAGCCTGGAGAAGAACAAGAAATAGTAGTCACATTTTCTCCAACAAGTTTAAAAGACAATGGAGAAAGGTAATGTTATAACCTGTTTGCCTGCCTATTTAGAATAAATGGTATAGATTATTTTTAGTCTGGGGTGGTGAACAGGTGTGATGGCATTAACTACAAAAAAGTGTTAATTTTTCAAATCTTCTTGTGTGCAGACCTTTTCCCATATAATGCAAAGCATGTTGTTCTTGCCAAGCTACACCAGCATTTCGGGTATCTTAGTTCTTGGAAGAAATCTCTTTTATCACCTAATTTAGCTTGCCTAGAGCTTAAAGAGATTTGGCACGCTTGATGGGTCTAGCAGTCTGAAAAAGCAGGGTTTCATAGATGTTAGGGTCAGAAGGGACCTATTAGATCATCAAATCCGACCCCCTGCCCTGGGCAGGAATGAGTGCTGGGGTCAGATGACCCCAGCCACGTGTCTGTCCAATCTCCTTTTTAAATACCTCGGAGGAAAGGGACAGCACCACCTCTCTTGGAAGTGTATTCCATATTTTGGCAACCCTCGCCATAAAGAAATTTTTCCTGATGTCCAGTCTGAATTTGCACTCTTCCAGTTTGCGGCCCTTATTTCTAGGAATCCCGACGGGCACCCTGGTAAACATGGTATCTGCTCTTTCTTGCTGGCGCCCCGCCCCGGATGAGTTTGTAGGCAGTCACAAGATCACCCATCAGCCTCCTCTTGCGGAGGCTGAAGAGGTTTGGGTCTCCCAATCGGTCCACATAGGGTTTTTTCTGTAGGCCTTTACCCAGATGAGTGGCCCTCCTCTGAACCCTCTGCAGGCCATCCGCATCTCTCCTGAAGTGTGGCGCCTGAAACTGGACGCAGTACTCCAGCTGTGGCCTGACCAGTGCTGCATAGAGGGGAAGTATAACCTCCCTGGACCTGTTTGCGGTGCACCTACTTATGTCAGAAAGGGTGTGGTTAGTTTTACTTATTACCTCGTCACATGGATGACTCCTGTTCATTTTGGAGTCGACTACGACTCCGAGATCCTTGTCCGCAGTTGTGCTACTTAGAGTGGTGCCTCCCAGACTAGAGGGGTAGTGATGATTCTTCCTCCCCGGGTGCAACACATGACACTTGTCCTTGGTAAACTGCGTCCTATTCTGTTCAGCCTGCTTCCCTAGCCTGTCCAAATCAGCCTGGATTCACTCCCTGCCGTCTAGTTTGTGTACCTCACCCCATAGTTCGGTGTCATCAGCAAACTTGGACAGGGTGCTTTCTACTTCCTCGTCCAAGTCACTAATGAAGATATTGAACAGTACCAGTCCCAGGACAGAGCCTTGGAGGCTCCACTGCCCACGTTTCTCCAGGTAGAAACCGACCCGGCCACCACCACTCTCTGGGGGCGTCCCTTAAGCCAATTTTCTACCCACTGGACTGTGTAATAATTTAGATTGAAACTGTTTAGTTTATTTATCAGAATTGGCTTTGACACTGTGTCAAAGGCCTTCTTAAAATCTAAATAAATAACATCTACTTCCTTTCCTTCAGCCAAGCATTTAAGATTCTTCCTGCCATTGTATCTGTTTTCTGAAGACTGATCTCTTTGTGCTCTTCAATATTTGTGGAAAACAGTCTCTTTATTCTTGAATTGTATTAAACCCTAAACCATCATCTGCAGAAAATAGTGCTCACTAGTTCATTAAGTGTGTTGGCCCATATCTTTAATGGACATTATTCAAACCATGCTCAGAAAATGGGATTGTTCACGGGGGTTGTTTCATAGCGTTCGTCGTATCTGCCCTCTTCCTAAAAGTTATATTTACAACAGGCCTGTGAAACAAAATATCAGTTTTACATCTGCAAAAATGCTTTGCTTCTGTGAGTCGCCTCTGGTTTACATAGACTAACATTATTTTACGTAAATTTCCTTTCGATCCAGTAGGACCCTTTGTGTCCAATCATTTTTTCAGACCATTTTCTGAACTTGATTGTTCTGCATTCCAGAAACTGTTCATTTCTGTACCATTTGAATAACATTCTCTTCTGGCCTTTATTGTACATTACCTGTAAAGGTTAAGTGGTTCTTATGAAAAACCAGCTGCCACATACAAACCTAAAATTTGGCTACATTTCTTAAGCCCCATCTACATGTTCCACTTAAGGTGAGGTTAAGCAGTTAATCATGCCTTAAGTAGTCACCTGGCCACATGTTCATTCAGTTAATAGTGTGATAAAAAGCGGAATATGCTACAAAGTATGCATAGTAACTTTGCAGCTGCTTCCTGTCATGTCATTAATTGAATGTATGGCTGTCAGCTGATTGGAGTTGCAAGCTGGTGTGGCCCATGTGCACCTCCAGGCCTGGGAGCTCCCAGCTGATGCTGGCTCAGCTGTGAGAGCACTTGCTTCCATCAGCTGACAGGGCTCCCAGCTGTGGGGGGCCCCGCTATGGCTGGGAGACTGCAGCTGATGCAGTGTACCAGTCACAGGGGTGCATGAAGCACCACGCCCCTAGCTGGGGTACCATGTCAGCCATGGTGTTCCTGTCCCAGGGACCTCTGGGGCACCTTTGCAGCTGGGAGCCCAGGTCAGCTGATGGGGCTCCCAGCCGTTGGAGTTTGCTTGTTGCCGGTGCAGGGAGAGCCTAATCTTGGGCTTGCCCTGCACTGGCAAGGAGGCATGATGGGATTTAATTCTCAGTCCTATAGTCGCACTTCCCTGTCATGCATGTGTGGCATACCAGGAGGTGCAATTGTGTAGATGGTGCATTAGTTCCTATTATGCCTTTATCTGCACGTGTAGAGAGGGCATCAGAGTGAACACCCAAGTGTTATGTGAGTTTTGTTCAAACTTGACACATCTGACTTTTAAAAATTAAGTACTTACACATTTTCTAAGTACTAAAGTGTCCTCACGACACATTTTAGTTTGTGTGACCCTTAAACATTTTTACCCAAATAAGGGTCATCTTTAAGTTGCATACAACCTTAAATCTGGTATTTTTGAACTTTTAAGAGCCTGAGATTGTGGTTTAAGATACTTTATCATGTAGATTTAGTGTGTGTTCTAATGTTTTAAAAAGACAAATTGACACGCAGTCCCTCACAATGACATCCGTATAGGTTGTCGACAAGTTGAGAACTTTCACAGTATAACCCGTGGCTCTTGAGTCACTTCAGTTATTGGAGTGACTGAAAGCAAATAAACAGCCATCTTCTGTGTACTTACTTCAGAGGCAACTAGGACACTTTGCAAATTTCCCAGATATTTGCTGATCACAGAGGAGTTTTGAGATTTGGGAATCTTAAATTTCTTTCCATGCTCTGAGCTGTTGTAGTCAGATATGTTTGCCTACTTTTTCATTGCCTTGACCCACTTCTGAGTTTTGAACTGCCCCATCCAACTCTAGGTTAGGGTCACCAGTCTGCAGCACCTGTGCCACAAGTAGCATAAGCAGCCTCCCTGTGGCACATGGCGGATCAGTGAGGGGGCAGATAAGACAGCAGCAGATAGGGCAGGCGGCAGAAAGCAGTGCAACAGATTAGGCAGGGGAAAGGGATTTGAGTGGCATGCTAGCCAAAAAAAGTTGGCCCTTATTGATCTAGCTAGTCCTACTCTCTCGTGCTTTTCTCAGTTTTTTTGCCCAGTAGATTTTTGTTTCACTCCATCCAGACTTCCTTGCATAGTCACTCTTGTCCTTTCTCAGCTCCTCACTTGATCTGCCTCCTACCCTCTTCCCTCATTACTTTAATTCCTTTCTTTACCCTTCCTTAGGACTTCTCAATCCCAATTTCCTTCTTTTTTTTTTTTTTTTTTAATTGGTTCTTTATTCCAGTCTTCTACCCTTGCTTCTGCAATGTCTAGGTCTATTTGGCTAGAGCTGCTTTTTCCAAACTTCTGCTTAGGTCCAGCAAGGCAGGGTGGACCCTCATCAAGCGGGAAGTGAGTGGCTTCCTGCTCTTGGTTTGAGCCCCAAGTTAAAGCTTTTTGTCTGGGG